AATCAGCTGCCTCCTGCACAACCCCCACTGGGGATTGAGCCTGCAACCCGGGCATATGCCCTGACTGGGAATCAAACCAGTGACTTCTTGGTGCATGGGACAATGCAACCTACCTAAAACACAGATTTGACCATGTCTCCTGTCTACTTTCCTGACCTGGTCTTCAGCTACTCCCCAGGACTCACTCGATACTGGTACTTCTAAAACACCAGATTCCACATTGTCTCATTCTTCTCTAAGTACTGGTTCCTCTACCAAAATGTCCATTTCCACTTACCTTTCTGGAGAAATCCTGTTCATCCTTCAGAACTCACTCCATAAAACCCCTCCTGATCACTCTTTCCCCTATCCCTCTGCAGGCAATGCAGTGAATCCTGTCTTCACTCTCAGAAGCTGTGTGACTTGGGCAAGTTACTGTTTTAGTTGTGCCATTTGTAGAATAGCAATAGGAAGACTACCTACTTTATAGAATTGTTGAGGGTTAAATGAGATGATGTAAATTAAACCCAGAGCATGGGGCTAGACACGTGGTAAGCTCTCAAAACATTTAGCAATTATTAATTACGCATCCCTTTGCTCTATGTAGGTAGGCCTCTGTCGCTGCAAGTTTAACACTGCAGTATTTCTTTCTGTACAGTTTCTCCACCAGAGTATAATCTCCTTGAAATAAGCATCCACATATCACACATCTTATATTTTAGCACAGTGCCTGGTGTATTATGGGAACTTATTCAATGATAATTGAACTAGACCATTTAAGTACTACCCATCTTTCAAGGCCAGTTCAATTTCCACTTCCTCCACTAATATTTACCGAATGATTCCAGCCCTCTGGATTTTACCTTCTCAAAAATAGTTTTACCACTGTTTGAAAAATCGCATGCTATCTTGTGTTATATTTAGAAGCGTTGTCTCAATAATGCCTGTTTCCTCCAGGCATACACCATTTCTTACATTGTTTACCTGCCCAGTAACAGCTAATATTTCCAATTGCACAGTGAGTGTTCAACAATTACTTTTTTAAAAAATATGTTTTTTTATTGATTTTTAGAGAGACAGAAAGGGAGAGGGAGAAATATCAATGTGTGAGAGAGAAACATCGATAGGCTGCCTCCCGTACACATCCCGACCAGGGACTGAACCGCAACCTGGGCATGTGACCTGACTGGGAATAGAACCGGTGACCTTTTGGTTCACCGGATGACATTCAACAAACTGAACCAAACTGGCAGGGCAACAATTATTTTTGAATTAAAATATTTCTGCCCAAGCATGGGAGGCCTCACCTTATCTTTTATTTTTTATTTTATTTTGAGAGTACATTTATTAAAGCTGGGGACAGTGAAACAAGGGCTTGGGATTGAAGAAGCAACAGGAGAGAGCCAAGGTGGGGCTGCTGTTGGCTTCATGAAAAGTCAGAGAAAAGGGGGCCTTGGAGACAGGCTCAGGGTTTTAGCTTGGGACGAACTGGCGCTGCCCATTGCTTCCCTGGTTGCAAGTCTTGTGGGGACCCTTAGTGTTCAGGTGAGAAAAGTAAAGAAAGGCAGGCGTGCTCCTGAGGGGGAGGGCACGCCTCTCCTTTTATTAGTCATCTGCCTCTAAGAAAATCCAGCAAACAACATATCTGACTCTCCTTCCCTTCGCTTTTTTTTTTTTTTTTGGTGCCCTTGACTGGAATTGAATTCTACCTTCGGTCCACAGGCCAATGCTCTACCCACTGAGCCAAACCAGTTAGGGCTCCCTTAGCTCTTGAAATGCTGCTTGGAACTACATTAATTTGCTTTTATTTGCATGCCACTGTCATGTCTTAGCTTCCCAAGGAAGAAATATTCCCTTTCCTTGATAACTTCCCTCAAGACCCAGCAGAGGGCGCTATACACACAAGGGCTGTTTGTGTGGGTGCCACTGGCTCACTATAGATATCCTCAATGGCAACTCTAATTTTTCTTTTGCCTGTATTGTCTATGCTCAGGCCACATCAGCTTAAAATAAATGCCACTGGACACTAATAATGGTGACGTCATCTCTGACACCCTGCATATCAGATGGCCAAGATGCTTGTCAGCACAATCACCACTCAACCACATTGGAGTAGTAGATCCACAATTTGGAATAAAGATTTTAGAAAATATCTAACTGAAACACTGGCAGGAACAGCTATGGAAGCACTGCAGAATCGGTCTGCCGTGGCTGCCTAGCCCTATAGTAAGAGAGTGAAAAACAAGAAATGGCAAGTTTTAAACTGAAATAGAGATAGTCACAAACATTTCTTGGCACCCCAGGATTCCTAAAACTACAGCTTAAAACTAAGGACAGGGAAGCCAGGAATAATGGAAAAATCATATAGAAGCCTAGATATTAACTTGAGCTCTTAGTAAAACTAGCTTGCCACTTTATAAGTAACTTATTTCTATACCTCAATTTTCTGACCTGTATTAAAATGAAATTGCACTAACTGAATGACCCTACTCAGCCCCCCCGACCTCATTCCCCAGCTGTGTCTACCTGGCAAACACAAACCAGGGACAACATGCTCCAGAAGTCAGAGGATTGGTTTAGGATATACAGGGTGGGGCAAAAGTAGGTTTACAGTTCACATGGGAAATAAAACAATAATAATATAAGAATAAGCTGTTTTAAGTATTCACAACTGTAAACCTACTTTTGCCACACCCTGTGTATATATCCTAGCTTTTGAAGTACATGAACTTTTTCATATATTTTCTTCCAGCTAGACAATAATTCCCACAATGGTAGGGAATGCTTTTTTAAAAAATAAATCCTCTCCCAAGATGTTTTATTGATTTTAGAGAGAGAGCGAGCATCGATGTGAGAAACATCGATTGGTTGCCTCCTGTACATGCTCCAACGGAGGATCAAACTTGCAACCTAGGTATGTGCCCTGACTGGGAATCAAACCCTCAACCTTTTGGTGTATGGTATGACACTCCAACCAACGGAGCCACCTGGCCAGGGCATGCCTTTCTTTCACCGAGCTCCATACTACCTGGCTCACTCAGTGTCTAGTACGCTGTTCAGAAATGCCAATGGTTAGGAGGCATCACAGTCCCCTGGCTAAATTTAGAGAGAGCAAGTCAGGAATACCTTCATTGAAAACTTTAGAAACATTCTCATTAAGGAGAATGAGTTAGATACCAAGAACATTTCTTCTCCAGTTTAGAAGTACCCCTCTCCCTCAATAAGATGGAGGTTTCTCTAAAATATCTGTCGCCTGGACCTTGTTTATCTTCCTTGATGCACACTCATTTGAAAAGCCATTCACATTTGGGAAAATAGCATGATAATCTCTCCTAATCAAACTTGGGCAAAATGGGCGAGTGGTTTCAGTGGACCACACGTGAATGTCTGGTGAGGCCAGGAGAGACAGGGCTGAGTATGTGTCTACTTTGGTAACGTTTCTTCTGTATGTCACATTCACAGGTCTTTTACCTTCTGTCAGTGGCAGGACTTGAGATTGTTTTGAGGAGGAAAGAAGTCACTGTGCCTCCTGCTGGCCACGAGCGGAGAGGCTCGAGTTCCTTTTGGCTTGTTACTAGAGGTCCATTTCTCCTTCACAAACGTGAGAATTGTGAACGAGTACACGACTGAAAAGGAAGAGTGGGCTTCCTTTTATGCTTAGTCTGGACTAAGCTTCAGGTGTCAATCAATCGTTTAAGATCAAACACTCTCAAATTCCTCATTTTGTGAGCCCCAACCTGAGGTTGATGCATCGGTATTAGGTACAGGAACAAAGGGATGGACAGGCGTCAGGAAAAACCCTGGTCTGTAAGCCAACACCCTTGTTCCCTCTCCCTAAGTGATGGAGTGTAGAGCCCAACCACATCCTAGATTAAGAGCCCCTGTTCCTTAAAAAACTTAGGGCCACACACCAGCTTCTCCCCTGAGTGGTGTCTGTCTTTTCTTCCCTTTCCCCAAACCCCAATAAAACACACCAACTGCTTCAGAGGATTTATGGGTGGGTTTTTTTTTTCATGGGTCTTTTTTTTTTTAAATTTCAAATACTGAAAAAGTCCCCTGGGCTCTGTGGGGCTCCCCATGCTCATGGCCCTCTTTCCGCATACTCACTGCCCTTCTCCCCACAGTACATCTGTCTCAAGGATATTTAAAAAAATGAACAATTAACATTAATTGCATTCTCAGCATGCTCTGCAGAACCAGAGGAGCTGTCTGCATCTGTCATATTTAGATGGACAGTTTCTTTTATCTGACACCAGGTCCCCAGCCATGTCTAAGCAAACATTGCATTTTTCTACAAAGTTAAATTGGAACCCCATGTCTTTAGTTTACTCCACTTCCTTCCCCTCACATCCACCTCACACCAGCCACATGGTTAAGAAGGATAGTCAGGAATGTTATCAACTCCAAGCCCTAATTCATATTCCCCTAAATCTCCCACCCACCCTCTCAAACAACTCCCCAGCCCCACCCCACTCCCCAGGATTTCACTGAGATTTCTCCCAATAGTTATTTGGAAGAAAGGTAAAACAAAAAAGGTTCAAGGTCTTGGTGCTCCGCCCAAGGGGCTCCATGCGCTGGGACACCGACGGGCAGGGGCTTCTGCCTCTCCAGCCCGTGCCCGAGCCACCTCCTGAGCCCTCTGCAAATGCAGGGAGGGCAGG